ATGTTCTTTGCCTTACAGAAGTTTCTCAGTTTCAGGAGGTCCCATTTATTAATTGTTGCTCTCAGTGTCTGTGCTGCTGGTGTTTTATTTAGGAAGTGGTCTCCTGTGCCTAAAAGCTAGCTTTCTGAATATGGACCCAGGAGCTATAGGACAACCCTACACACAAGCAAATATGGCAGAAATAGGGTTCAGGCAACTTCTTAATTTGCTCTGAGTAAATACAGCATTGGAAAGCAAGGCCACTGAGAGAACCCTCTTGTTACCCACGTGGCTCATCCATTGTTCGCTGTTTCTTCCCACCTTCCTCTTCTTCTGCCCCAGTGCCTACAGTATGCAAATGATTCTTTTAGGTCCTAGAGTTTCAAATATGGATGCATATTAATTATGTTTTCCACTTGCTTAATATGGATGCTTCAAGTCCTAGGGCTTTGCCAGCCCTGGAGCACCAACCCTCCACAGTTAGCAAAGTCCTAGAGCTAACTCACCTGTGACATACCTTTCATGTGCAAACCATTTGCAAGCCCAACTTCAGTCACCTCCTTTGTGAGCTTCCATACCCCAGGTCACGATCTACCAGTCTTATTACCTCAGGATGAGATGCCACACGGCTAGGGACAGTTCCTCATGCCCAGAGCCTGCTGACACCATTCCCACTAGCCAACCCTAGAGCCTATACTTAACCCTACCTGTTCCCTCTGTTGGTGGTGAAGTCTCTTGCCCATAGCTATCACATTCTTCCTTTGCCTCTTGTGTAATCAAAGACCTCCCCTGGGCTCCTTCTGGCATAATGTCCCTCTCACCCTGACAACTGAGAGTAAAAAGTTGTTTTCTTCACTGCAGTGTGCTCCAGTTCTGTTGGCTTTACTATAGCTCAAATGTTTTAGTGGCTATTTTATTTAAACATTTGAGTATGTTCATGTTTGTCTGTGTCCGTGTCCTGTTTGTGTGTTTGTGTCTGTGTGTGTGTGTGTGTGTGTGTGTGTGTGTGTGTGTGTGTGTGTGTGTATACACAAATCACCAGAGTCAGTTCTCTCCTTCCACCTTCCACCTCTTCTTCCAGGAATCAGGCTTGGTGGTAACAGCATGAAAGACCCTGTTTTATGAGAACTTGCCATTTCATGATGTGGCTGGGGCAGGCAACTAAAAACAGCCGGATTGAGAACGTTACCCTTCCTACTCTGAGCACTAAGGTGTGGTCGCTGTGTAAAACAGCCAGTATGCGCCCCACTTTTCTGCAGATATGGTGCACCTCAATAAAAATACAATACAAAATGATAGTAATGTTAAGTCCACCCATTAAGTCAATCCCATAAGCTAAGCAAACAAGAAATGTCCTCAGCTCTCTCACATTGGAATTGCTGGCTGCTGACTGAGCTCTGAGATGAGATCTGTATCAGGCTGTCTCACCACCACTGTCATCATCAGCCTGACACTCCCTACAAAGGACTCAGTTGTGTGTACCTAAGCAAACACTTACCTTCTATGTTGTGTTTTTACTGTACTGTTTTTACTCACTTTCACTCTTTCTAGGCATTTAAAAAAGACAGGATGGAGAATGTATTTCCTTGACCCTGCCATTAGTTGATCTCTGTCTGTCTGTCTCTCTCTCTCTCTCTCTCTCTCTCTCTGTCTCTCTCTCTCTCTCTGCAGAGTTTCAGTCCAGGCTAATCTTGAGCTCACTTGAGGCTGGCCTTGAATTCCTGATCCTCCTGCCTCTGCCTTCAGAATGCTAGAATTACAGGCTTGTGTCACCACACCCAGTTGATTTGTTAATTCCTTTATCAGAATCCAAGAATTTGGTTGTAACCAATTAAGTGCAGCATTTCCAAGCAGCAGTGTGGCAGCATGCTCTCTTTGGAGCAAACTAACTTTTCAGAGTGGAGGGAAGCAGGTTAAGCTAGAAAACCTGTTCCTCTCTGGGTTCCTCTAAGGATCCTCTTAGAGCTGTCTGAAAAGTGCACAAAACAAGGGCCTTCATTTCAGGGGTCCTTGAGATCCTTCATCTTACAGATAAGCCCCCTCGACCTGGTGCAACCAACTGGTTGGCTAACTTATGACAATTTCCATAACCAGCAGTGACGAGTTGGTTTTGGCTTCTAGAGTCCAGGCAGTACTCCTTCTGGGCCATCTCCCAGAATCTACTGAGAGGCAAGATTAGTCAGACAAATGACAGGAGAGCTGGCATGCTGGGGGTGGGGTGGGGGGGTGCCATAGGAACCTAAGGTGTTTGATCTGAGGAACTTTAAGAAAACATTGTTTTGATATTCTAGTGCTGTAATTGAATCCACTATTACAAAAGAGTCTGCGGGTATCAAGGGTCTACTTTATTCACACCCAGGAACAAAATAGTCTGAGAACAATTCCTTTCCATATTGAGGACCTTTGACCCTGTGACCTGTGAGACTCTGTAAAGGTGTCCTTGTGCTCTGCCTGCTCCAGTCTGCCCAGTTAAGCCTACAGGGGCATCTCAGATCCTAGCTGTTAGTTTTCATCTTGAAGGTTATTTATTATAAGTTAGGAGCCTCAATAAGTTTATCTTCGGTGACTTTGAAAAGATTTCTGTGGCTTGTTAAAGAGGAACTCTCTAGGGCAAACATAGGGAGATGGGGGCTGCTAACTCTGAACCAGTTATAGGTGAGGAACCTATTGAGGGAAATGGGGAAAGTATGGGGAGGGAGGAAGGAGGGAGGATGGAAAGGGGAAAGGAAGAGGAAAGACAGAAAGACGAAGAGGACAGATAAATAGAAGTCGCTTGAGATGATCTGTGAGCACAGTGAGTAGGTAGGGCTGGGCTAGCTCCAGCTGCTCCTGGCCCATTTGATTTCATGGTCCAGGACAAGTCTTGACCTCTAGGTGTGACTGTGAGAAAAGTTCTACTGAGCTTAGGGGAAGGGGTAAAAAGGGTGAGTAACAAAGGCTGGTGAAATACCCTTGCCCTGGGCATATGAAAAGCAGGGAACAAAAGACCCCAGGCTGGCCGGGTTTCTACTCCATGGCTTATAGGCACAACCTGACTATCCTTACCTGGGAAATGGCCCTGTGCTAAGCTCACAGTGGACTTCACAGAGGTGGTAACTGAAGCAGCATGTAGCAAGCCAAATACAACCAGCTTGCACATTGTCAATCAGATACAGACCGATCGGTGTAAACAAATAATTCCCGGTTAATTATTACTGACTGCTTTTCCAGAGGTCCTGAGTTCAATTCCCAGCAACCACATGGTGGCTCCCAACCATCCTTTATGAGAGCTGTTGCCCTCTTCTTGTGTGCAGATATACAGGGAAGCAGAATGTTGTATACATAATAAATAAAACCTTAAAAAAAAAAAAGTAATTCCTACCTCCAGCCTAGATCAAGGGCAAACAGCAACAAGAAACATTTGCTCTAAGTGGCTACAAGTGCAGCTGCCAGCATCCAAAAGAGATCTGCCTCTCCTCGCTAACAGAAGGCTGCTAGGCTTGGTGGTGGCTCAGTATCTGCATCTCATAGCTGCTGCTGCTGCTGCTGTTGGTGCCCCCCCCTCCCCCTGGGGGAATCAAGATCCTGCAAGCCAGTTCCAATCCTTCTCCTTGCCCCTACCCCCCAAAGCCATAGAAAAATCTCCTTAAGGAGAGATTTTTAATTTATTTTTTATTTAAATTAGTAACAAGCTTGCTTCACATGTCAATCCCAGCTCCCTCTCCCTCCCTTCCTCCCCTGCCTCCACCAACCCCCTCCATAGGGGATCTCCAAAGTCTGTCATATCATCCCAGGTAGAGCCTAGGCTCTCCAGACTGAGAGAGCATCCCTTCATGTGGAATGGGCTCCCAAAGTCCATTCATGTGCCAGGGGTAGATACTGATCTACTACCCAAGGCCCCATAGATTGCTGAGACCTCCTCACTGGTGAAATATGGCCCCACATGACCAGCTGCAGCCCCTGTGCTTTGACATCCACGTTCAGGGGGTCTGGATCAGTCCCATGCTGGCCTCTCAGCCATCAGTCTGGGGTCCCTGAGCTCCCCCTTGTTCAGGTCAGCTGTTTCTGTGGGTTTCATCAGCCTGTCTTGACCCCTTTGCTCATCACTCCTCCCTCTCTGCAACTGGATTCCAGGAGTTCAGTTCAGTGTTTGGCTGTGGGTGTCTGCCTCTGTTTCCATCAGCCACTGGATGAAGGCTCTAGGATGGCAAATAAAGTAGTCATCAATCTCATTATTGGGGAAGAGCATTTAAGGTAGCCTCTTTAAGGAGAGAATTTTGAAGGTCTGGCCTTTTAAATCTTTTAGATTTTTACTTATTTGTCGTTTTCTATTGTTTCACGGTTCGTTAGTGTGTATGTGAGGGTTTCTGTTTCAGGTTATGTCTTCCTGAAAAACCGGGCTAGAGAATTACAGAACTGAAAAGGAAGAGGGATAGAAGAAGAAGGGAAGAAGGGGAAGGGGGAAGAAGGAAGAAAGGGGAAAGTGAAAACTAGACGTTACTTAAGAGATGAACAGAGAAAGGGGTTATTTAATGAGTAGCCTGTGTGAGTTGGCCCTGACTTTGTCCAGATAAATTTGCTTCATGGTCCACGTGTGGGTTCCAGTGTTGCCTTTGCCTCTCAGGTGTCTGCGTGTGCGACTCTGCTATCATGAATCCGCAGGAGCCAGGGATCCCTTTCCACTCTGGGTTATGGCCCCACATGACCAGCTGCAGCCCCTGTGCTTTGACTCTGCGACATTGACTGCAGAGGATTGGTGCTTGACAACTCCTGCAAGGACATGGAGTCACCAGCCTAGGAACCAACACATGAACACAGTCCTGGGCCAGCATCGGGCGAGATCAGGCATCGGTTGCCTGTCCGTTGGTCAGCCGGCTTTAGACTCTCTGGGACTGAGCGAGCCTGAACTCTGCAAGGCGACAGGGTCACAGTAACTCTGTGTCTTTTGGCGCCTCCCCGCCCCTCCCCCACCACTGGCCCAACATACACTGGTGGCAGAATGTGTTCCCAGGTGAATATCCAACCTGGGTTCCAGCCTGAAGATGGCTCCCAAGCTGCGGATCCGGAGCAGGCTAGCAACGGGCTCCGGAGCAAGCGCCATCCCGTGTCTCCAGACTCACAACTATCACCAGATGAAACGTATGAAACAAAGCACTTGGAAGCAACGTTCCCTAGTTGTATTCTCTGAGCCCAGCCCCACGTTTGGCCCCAGGTTTGCCAGGTATCTGTAGCCTTCCCTAAAGACTCTGCATTCTACTAGCCCAGCATCTTCACAACCTAGCCCCTCCTGTGGCTCCTGGGGGTCCTCGGCACAAGGGCCACTGAGGGTGAGCTCAAGTGGGAGTTCCCAAGAGTACAAGAGTACACTGCGCTGGCCTCTCTGAAGCTGCGTAAGAATACTCTGGCCATAGAGCTGAGATATGGTCAGAAATAGCGAGCTCCAGTGATCTGCTGTCGCTCTGTCCCCTTTCCTCGAAAAGCCCTCCCTCTCAAGGAGAATCATTTTGACATAGAGATCCTCTGGAAGCATTCCTGGCAGCAAGGCCCAACATTGCAAATGCGCCCCCCCCCAGGAATTTCCGCTTCCATGGTGGATACACTCTTTGTGGCAACCCTTCCAGTTTGGTGCAGGTGCCTGGCGGCCCAGTTGCCTGCACCTCAGAACACCACCCCCTTCCAGGCCAGTGCCCCGTTGAACCACCCTTGGCTGGCAGTTCTGGCTTTGCACAGTAGGGGGGTGGGGGTGCGAGGATGACCCCGGGCTTTAAGGGACACCGGCCTTGGAGCGCTGCTGCTGGGGAAGATGGAAAATGCCAGTCTGTTTTATACCTAAAGCACGTGCCCTGATGAATTTTGTCTAGGATCTTGGAAGGTAACATTGGTTCTTAAACTCGGAGAAGTTGAGGTTCTTGAATACCTGCATCTTCTCAGCTCTGGATGGCTAGCACGTTGTAAGCGAGACCATCTGTGAATCTAGTCATCGCGCGCGCTGGGATTTAGGACTAGAGCGGTATCTCCATCAAAGATTACACAGCCGCAGCTCGCTGGATTTACCTCATCACCGCCTGTGAGGTCAGCCTTATCGGCTGGTTTTAGGATTACAAAAGGTCTTGGGAGATATTGGACTTGCTGCCACGCCTTCAGTAACTCTAGGCAAGCTCTAACACCCAACCCCACGGTTGTCCTCTCAGACGCTGCCTCTTTCGAAGGTCGCCTCTGCGGAGCCTCCACATGGGGTGGCGTGCCATAAATATTTGTGGGTCTAATTCCCGGATCTAATCCCGCCTGCTATGGTTTCTACGGTGGAGGGTGTGTCTAAACCGTATTGACTCATTCCTTCGTTCGTTCATTCGTTCGTTCATTCATTCATTCATTCATTCATTCATTCGACAGTTCTTGAGTGCCTACTGTGTGCGGTGTAACAGCAGAAACAACCGCATCAGGAGTAGGCGGTCTCAAGTTTTCAGGTCATAGCCCGTTTAGCCTGGAGTATCAGGAGGTGGGAAACAAAGGAGGCCCCTGGGTTGCAAGAAAGTCATTGGGGGACCTAGGAGCTTAAAAGCGGCTTCCCTGGATTAGGTGAAAACTCCAGAAAAGAATTCCGCGAAAGAGCTACTAGCAAGGGAATTGCAGACTCTGGAGTGCGGGGAGGCGGCAGCAGGCAGAATGGGATGGGGCGAAGGCAGAAGAGGAAAATCGGATGGCAGAAAAACAAGACTGACGCCCCTTCGGAGACCCAGAGTATCTGTCAGTTTGGGAAGGGCACTGCACAGAGCCCGATGTCCCGATAGATTGCACAACGGCCTAAGACCATCCCTGGTGGCCACCCACGTTGTCTGGGGCGAGATAACCGAAGCCATAGGTGTGTCTGGCCGACCTAGGGACTTTGATGGTCAGTGTCTCTTCTCTTCGGGTATCTCTGCGAAAGCTGTTTGAGTTCAGTTTTCCCTTGCGGGGAGTTTTGGTAGAGTCTGGTCCCTGGGTCGAGGGCGGCCGGCCGGAGGGGGCTGGACCTGACTCTCGCGCCACGCAGGGGAGACTGAGGGTGGTGCGCACGCTCTCCGTGGCCCTGCAGTACCTGCACCCGAGCGCTGATCCGGGACAGGCTCGGGAGGCGGAGGGGAGGAC